TTTTAATACAAATTCTTTTTTAATGACTTGTGCAAGACTAATGGAAAATAATATGTTGCAGATGAGGAGTTTTGTGTGCATACACAAAAATAGTGAGTATTGTTTATCTAGTTCTGAGCTGTTTTGTAACTACCATAGGGAGAAAAATATTTCATATGCCAACTTTGAGTGTAGTCATGTCAATTTATTAGCTACTAAAAAGAATCTGTTAATCTATACTCAAATAACAAAACAACAGAAAACAAAAGCATAGTGTGGTTAAGATCTTGATACATGTGAATGAATCTATTTAATTAGTTTATGCAGTGAACATGTTAAAACATGGGGAACAATAAATGACAATGGACAAGCTTCGAATAAAAAAGAGACTCACTGAGTCTCAATTAGAGTCAAATGGTACATACATATATACAAAGAAAAGGTTAAAAAAAAAAAAAAAAAAAAGATGCACCTTAAAGACAGTTATCTCATGTTTTTATAGAAAAGAATTTCACACCTTAACAATAGTCTCCTCCTCATTTCTTCTTAATACTGTCCACTCTCCTTCACACAGTAAAGTCAGTTTAATATTGTGTTTATATTTACCAAAAAAAAAAAAAAAAAATATTTTCTAACTTTAATACTGTATGAAGTAGTTTATAGACAATAGCATCTATTACACTCACATGTACAAATAAAAAAAAAATTGTCTTTAAGTGAAAGCTCATATTGATAAGAATTTTCATAAACTGTCTATTAAATAAGGTTAATGTTTTCAAAAATACAAGTAGTTATCAAAATAATGAAAACACCTGTGAATAAAAGTGACATTGAAAATGTATTTCATAAGCAGTAAAATATATCCCAGCAACCAGTTTTTTTTTTTTTTTTAAAAATAATAGATGGGTATTTAATTACGGCAAAGCACACTAGGGCTATCTGCCTAAGGGGAGGGATGCCTTCGTGGAGGACTTTCTAAGGGAAACTGGCTCGTATACACGTTACACATGGGGAAAACCACGAAAACGCCCATGCAGCCAGCCCGTTCGCGGGATTCGAACCTCGGACCGAACTACCAGTGTTCAGCGACTTTACCGCTCGGCCGCTGGTGAGCCCTTTAAATAATAGAAGTATATATCATAGTATGAAGCAGAGCTAAAGCAACTGTGACTGAAATATCCTAGCTATTTATGCATTTCTAGTGTTATAGTGTCTACAGTCATGACAGCGTACACACAGCATGGCAAGAGAAGCTCGGCAAAGCAAAATAGTGGATGGAAGGAGAAGCTGAGTGAAAGAGATCAACGGGTATTGAGAAGCGGATTGTAATGTCTAAAAAACGAAACAACTGCAGCCAAAGTGACTGCAGAACTCAATCAGCATCTGTCCTATGCCATAATAAGAATTTGTATAGGGAAAATTGTTATGGTTTACAAACGGCTTTCAGGAATGAATTAAATCAGTGGACGAAGGTTTCACTGTATGTATAAATAAATATTAAAATATTGAGTATTTTTGGTGAATTAATACTTATAAGAGAATATAGTAGGTTACCTAATTTATCACATTGAGAAAACTGTACAAAAAAACAATGTTCAAATAACTGGTTTATCATACAAAGAAGTTACACAATTTGATATACTGTACATTTTAGATGATCATATCGGATTTATATAATATTCGACGGATAATTCATGGCTATCTAATTTATTATAAGGTACTTGAAAATTCAAGCAAAATTATTTCATATCTAGGGAGAAACATACATGTAAATTGTTTTGATATTAATGAAGCCTAGACAACTTCTAGTATTAGACCTGGCTCAGTATTTTCAGAGCTCTAGAATGATTGGTAAAGGTTTAGGTGGATGCAAAGCCAGCACTTGTGCATCCATGTAGTAATATTAAATATTGCTGGGCCTTATCCTAATTAGAATTTTGAGTGAGAACACTTTGGGGAGTGGTCCAAGGGTCTCTTTCCCTACCAGCAATCTCTTGAAAAGATTTTGGCTTTCCATCTCTTTTGAGTGACCCTTTGCTTTTTAAACACTATATGCTTACAAACATCCATGCCTTCTCTAGAATTCAAACCCAGATCCTTCGGTATAGCAGTTAGTGTGACTAATCGCTATCCCATCTGGATTGGATTATTCAATTGCGGCAAGGCACACGAGGGCTATCTGCCTAAAGGAAGGGATGCCTTTGTGGAGGACTTTCCAAGGAAAACTGGCTCATGGGGAAAACCACGGAAACGCCAATGCAGCCAGCCCGTTAGCAGGATTCGAACCTCTGACCGAGCTACCAGTGTTCAGCATCTTTACCGCTCGGCCGCTGGTGGGCCTATCCCATCTGGATGGCAAATGATCAATATAGCATGTATTCTATACAAATTAAACATATTAGTAATTCTAAATTGAAGGTATTTTTATTCAGTTGCCTGTGTCTCTCATGTTAGAGAGACTGCCTTAATATAAGAAAGTAGTAGTAGGTATTAGTGCGTTAATATAAGAAAGTAGTAGCTAGGTAATATAAGAAAACACATTTTGTGAATGAATTTACACTCATTTTATGCGAGTGTAAATTAGTCTATTATCTCGATTATTATTATTTTTTTCATTTGGAAAGGTTCACCTTAAGGTTAATTATACAGTTTTCTTAAACTTGAATGACAAACCTTTTTTTTTTTTAAAGATAATCATTTATTCTTTCAGTATTTTTTTAATATGAATTAGGTTTTATTTTTAAAAAAATTCACTTATTGCTGGGAAATATTTTCCTCAGTAAAAGCTAAAAATTAAAAACTGGAAGATTTGGTGATTTGCCAGGAGAGTTAGTAGCTATGCGATGACTTTATCATTAGCAACAGAATTTCAAGACTTCATCCCATATAGGAATACTGTATGAAGTAGTTTATAGACAATAGCATCTATTACACTCACATGTACAAATAAAAAAAAAATTGTCTTTAAGTGAAAGCTCATATTGATAAGAATTTTCATAAACTGTCTATTAAATAAGGTTAATGTTTTCAAAAATACAAGTAGTTATCAAAATAATGAAAACACCTGTGAATAAAAGTGACATTTGAAAATGTATTTCATAAGCAGTAAAATATAATCCCAGCAACCAGTTTTTTTTTTTTTTTTTAAAAATAATAGATGGTGTATTTAATTACGGCAAAGCACACTAGGGCTATCTGCCTAAGGGGAGGGATGCCTTCGTGGAGGACTTTCTAAGGGAAACTGGCTCGTATACACGTTACACATGGGGAAAACCACGAAAACGCCCATGCAGCCAGCCCGTTCGCGGGATTCGAACCTCGGACCGAACTACCAGTGTTCAGCGACTTTACCGCTCGGCCGCTGGTGAGCCCTTTAAATAATAGAAGTATATATCATAGTATGAAGCAGAGCTAAAGCAACTGTGACTGAAATATCCTAGCTATTTATGCATTTCTAGTGTTATAGTGTCTACAGTCATGACAGCGTACACACAGCATGGCAAGAGAAGCTCGGCAAAGCAAAATAGTGGATGGAAGGAGAAGCTGAGTGAAAGAGATCAACGGGTATTGAGAAGCGGATTGTAATGTCTAAAAAACGAAACAACTGCAGCCAAAGTGACTGCAGAACTCAATCAGCATCTGTGTTCTCCAGTGTCAATAATTACAGTTAGGAGGTACCTTCGTAAACAGAATATTTATGGCAGAGCAACAATTCCTAAGCCATGTGTCTCGCATGTTAATGCCAAACATCATCTAAAGTTGTGCCACAACCACAAAACCTGGTTGATTGATAAGTGAAAGACTGTTATATGATCAGATGTAACATCTTTCACACTTTTCTCTACAGAAGAATGGATGCACATTTGGAGGACACCTGCAGAAGAATATGATCGTGATTCTTTCTTTCCAACTGTCAAGCATAGAGGTGGATCCATCATGGTATGAGTAGCCATATTGTGGTTTTCTCAGTATAGAGAAGTTTTAGCTGAGTCCATCCTATGATGCAAACTTTGTTTCATGCAACAGATGGAATTTTCCAGGATGAACACGAGGATGAAATGAAAAATCTCCCTTGTATGCACAGTCCCTCGGCCTCAATATAATGGAACCATTATGATCTGTTTTAGAGCATTCAATCCAGAATGAATATATTTCACCAGTATCTCCACGAAGAGTGGTACAGTATTCCTCTACACATTATTCAGCACTTGTATGATTTGATTCTAAGCGAATCCAAGCTGTATTACATGCCAAAGATGGTCCTATGCCATAATAAAGAATTTCTTATAAATCTAGAGGTTTCCGTTATTTTGATAACCACCTCTCCATCCATTTTTTATTAAAAGAGGTTTTAAAATTTTTGAATGAACAATGTGAAAGAACATGCTTAGTTAAAAATGTTAAAAGAAGTTGACATATTTATTATTTATCAGAGGCATTTCATTAACTAAGTTTGTGGAAGAAGATTAAAAATATACAGTAATGGAGAAACAGTATATTTTCTATATAAAAGGTTTTTTTTTTATTTATTTATTTTTTTTTTTTTTATTTTTCGGAAAATGCACATTTGATAGGTTATCAACAACCATTGCAAAATTTAACATTACACACTGACATGACATAATTCTGTATTTCAAGTTATGAGCAAATATATATTTTGAACAAAATACTTTTTGTAGAGCGAATATGAGATTGAAATGGTAAAAATATTGAAAGCACTGAATACATAGAATGAAATGGCAAAGATTATTGCAATTTGCCTTTAACAGTAAATATATCATAGACGATGGAAAATGCACTTTATACATTTATACAGTCAAAAGTCGTTAATTCGGACCTCAAAGCTACAAACTTTCTGCGCATGTGTCGCGTTCACGCATGCGCACAGGCGTTTACGAGAGTGCATAAGACCCTTACAGCTGCGAATATGTTTGTGCACATGCGCGTTTAATGTGTAACGGAGTTATACGCTAAGCTAAAGTTATCTAATTCAGTTAATGTTGCAGATTGCGTTGTTCCTTAATCTTCGAATTGGATCCGGCTTATTACTTTTTGCAGACTGTTAGAGCAATTTTATAAAAGTAAGCTTGAACTTTCGATTATGTCAAATAGAATTTCCGATATATATTTACTACAAAGCGAAAGTATGTTTTGAAATCCGAAATCTGTTTATCAATTTCACGCTGCTCTGCGGCAGAGGAGGGGGTGCAGAAACGTCATTATTAGATTATGATAGATTAGAAAGATTATGTCAAATAGAATTTCCGATATATATTTACTAATATGTAATTTGTATCTACAAAGCGAAAGTATGTTTTGAAATCCGAAATCTGTTTATCAATTTCACGAGGCCGATTGGAAGTTGATCTGTCAGCACTATCCTTATCTTCAGAGCAGATGTTTTATTTTATTTGGTTTATAATTCCGTACTAAGTGTAGTATTTCATCTCGATATACTCCGTCTTTGATATGATTTAAATCAAGTTCCTCGTCGTTATAATTCGCTTCCGATAGTGAAGAAAGTGACCCAGAGGTTATTGAAAACGAAAACATTTCGATTGACAAATTAGTCGGTATTCTCAACACAGCAATTATAGGACTTGAACAGCGGAACTTTGTAACTAAACAAGAAATTATGTCTGTTTAATAGAATTAAAGAGAAAGTATTATCACATGAAACGAAGCAACTTACATTGAAGGAAATGTTTAATAAAGTAAACAAATAAATATTAAGCTTTTTCTTTTTGTAAATTTTGATACCCTTTAGATCATAATTGTTCGTTATTTCATAAATTACGGTTTCATATTTTTAATTTTGTAATTTCTGCATGCCATCTTACCAGATTTAAACTGATGATCTATAATCCGGAAAAATCAATAATCCGGAATCGCCGAAGTCCCGACGAGTCCGGATTAACGACTTTTGACTGTACTGTAATAATAAACAAATATTAGGGTATTAAAAAAAAATGTTAAATGTCTGTATCTGTACAGCATCCAAATGCTATCATGTTAAGATTACAGTGTTATGCAGCTTTTCTCAAAACTCGCACATTCAAATTTAATACTCTTAATGATACTGAAAGCTTCTATCGTAAGGTTACTATAAGATTTGGATAAATAGACAAAAAATCATTTCATGCACATTATACATCTTACCTATTGAATGCTAAACTTCATCTCGGGGACTAAAGAAAAAATGATTCAAAACTACTATTCAAAGAAGACTGAATTTTCATACTTAAAAACAGCACAATTAAATACAAGTTATTAGAGAAATAGACCATTAGCAACAAAGAAATATTTATATTTTTACATAATTAACTTTTCAAACTAATTTACTTAAATAAAATGTTTAGTAAAACCTTGCTTAACCAAGACAACAAGGGAAATATCGAAAAGATGAATTTGAACATAACCAAATTTTTTTTAAAAACTGATCTTCCTCCTATGAATTATTCATTCTTTATATATCCTCTTGACTCCACAGGTCCACATCAATTTTGCGATGCTGGAAATATTCCAGTACACTTTTACTCAATTGCAGCTAGATTACTGCATACAGGAATGTTTCAGCTTTTCATTTTACCAATGGATGGCAGCACAGGTGCATACTTTTGAAGAAATCAAAGCTGCAAGTGGATTGTTTTGCAAAAATGGCGCCGTCGAAAAGTCTTCGAAAACGTAAGTAATAATTTAATTAATGTTTAAAGTGAATATTTAGAGCTATTTAGGTTAGAGCTTTTGTTTAACGTTGTTGTTTGTTCCTCAGTTATTTTTTGTGGCAATGCATTGAAATGTGTATAGGTCCACATACGTGGACGTCAGTCCGTTAGGGAAATTAGGCTCAGTTGGTTAATGTCATACTTTTTTTAATATTACATAATTTCAGTTACTGTTCCTGAAGTTTATGTTTCAAAAACAGCTCACTGATGGCATAACTGATTATATACATTTAGTCCTTAATTGTAATCTTAAATTATTTGTATTTTTACAGGGTTTTTTTTTACCCTTTTCTCGCTTTATTTTTGAATTAAAATATAATATTCATAATATTGTACTTCTATTCTTTGACTCATTAAAATAAAGACAATGCATAGCTATTACTGACCTGATTTTATATTTTTAATATAATTTATTGTTTGTAATTTCTTTGTTATTTCATGTTATTAGTTGTAACTGATAGTAACTCAAGTTAACATGCTTGCAGGATGACTTTGAGAATGCTCCAGAGCCTTTTTCACCCTTGGCTTCGTGTTTTGAATACCTGAGCGTGAAATGTTTTGAAGAAGTAGCTGCCTAAACTAATTTGTATTCTGTTCACCAGAAATATAAATCTGTGTGAAATATAATTTTTTTTTTTTTTTTTCTGTGTGTGTGTGTGTTGTAAAATGTGAACTGTGGAACAGTTTGTCCAGATGATTATCACGTATCCATATATTCAGTGACATATAAAGCCAAAGTTTGCATTTACACTGTCAGTATTCTAGAATATTTCTGAAAAAGGAAACATAAATATCTTAAAAACATATTCTTTGTACATGCTCATTACTGTATTAATGTTTATTATCTGTTTTTCTAACTTCATCTACAAGATTTTGGTTGAATATATATACATAAGGCATATTATTCCCTAATCTGATTTTAATAAAACAAAAAGAAGCCTCACCATAAGCAGTAAAAACTGGTTGACTTCAATTAATTTGATTAATTTGGAAAAACAGGGTTCTACTGCATAATGTAAGACAATTAAAATAACACTTTTTCTTTTCCAATTTTAAATGCATACTAAAGAAGAAATAATTTGTAAACAGGTATTTAGTTTAAAAATAAATCTGAAAATATACAGGTAAAACATAAATATTTTTACATATTAAAAATATATGTTCATTAAAAAGCAAATTAATATTTATGGATAAAACATATACAATTAAGATAGTCATTTATTTTGGATGAATCTTAATTTTTTAAAAAAAATCAAAAAAGGTATTAAAGAAAAGGTATTTTTTCATTTAACATTTAAAAAATAACATATACACACAGATTAAAAATTTACCATTTAAACCTTTCATTTTTAGAGTATAAAATAACAAAGGACTATTTTTAAAAATGTTTACGTTTTACGTTTCTTAAAGATTCATCCATGGAAATACAAGAAGAAACCAAGAACAAGGTCTAAGTACTTTTTCAGAATTAAAATCAATATAAATAAATGAAGTTATTAGCAATAATGCTGAACACTACAACAAAAGTGAAGATTCTAAAGATGAAATTTTACAGAACATTCTATAAAAACATAAAAAATACAGAAAATGATGACACATTTTACATGAACCACTAACCTTCAAAGAATGTCAGAAATGTACTAATAAGTAATGACTTCTTTCATGCCAAAAAATAACAATGAAAGTAGTCCACATATCATTAGAAGATGCTTATACTAATTTTGTTCACAATAAGTCACTCTCACTGTGCACAAGTGCATCATACAAATTTTTTAACCATGAACTGTTAGGAACAGTGTAGACAAATAAATATGTGCACATTTGATATGTAAGTTAAATGTTTAAATATCAAACATTTTCTTAAAATAATACTTAAATAGATTATTACATATGTTAATAGTAAAGGAAGATTGAAATGAAAAATCAATTAAAAATTATTATTAAACAAAATTATCTACTTTAATCTTAAATGTATGTAACTTAAATAAATAATTTTAGCTTCATATTTTCAATTTTTAAATTTAAAATTCATTCAATTGCATTGATTACAACCAAAATAGTATGGTATTGAGGCATTTGAATTAATCAGAATCGAATGCAAATAATTTCATTCCAATAAAACTGAGTTCCACCAGTGGCAGAATAATTAAAACAACTGAATACTGGTAGTTTAACCTGGGTCAAACACAGGCAAAGGTTTGGCTACATTTTGATTTTCATAGGTTTCTCCATATGCATGAATACAAGCCAGTTCATGTTCTTCATGAAGGCATAAACAGCCATTGTATGCTCTGCCATATTCATATTACGTAACCAATAAAAATTGACTTTTTCTAGCTTCTTAAATTTTAAAATTAAACTTAACTTATGATGTCACCCAATTAACTGGAGCATAAATATCAGAGTATCAATGTATCCTAATCAACAATCTAGTGTAACTACTTTATTTTTTTACTCCTAGGACACAATTCTTGATTTCAGTACCACCAACAAAAGAGGGGGATGGACTTATTTCTAAGTAAATAAAACAAATTAAAAAAGAATCTCAAATACATCAGCCAAATATTTTCGGATTATTGACACCACCAGTATTACTTAAATTAGTATTTTGGAAAAATCTGCTATGCTAACATATCCTGTTTTAGCAAAATTTATACAGGAAAAACATGTGTCTTTAAATCAAAGCAATATGGTAATTTCACTCTAAAAAAGGTGTAATATGAATTATTACTACTGCAAATCTGTTTATAAAAAAAAATTACCTGATAGTCATAAATGGATACTTATATTTATTTAGTAACTATAAAGTATACCATCAAATTAAATTATAATAATAGTACATTTAACTGGAAATTGATTATTTACATTAATCTTTCAGATGATTTCTTATTTACAAATATGCAGTGCAACAAATTTCATGAAAAAACTATCTGGCACAAATATACTGACACACTGCAACTCATTTAAAGAAGAAAGAAATAAACTTCATAAATACTACAAACAGTATTTAGAGGTTGAAGCAACATGAACAAGAGAAATATGCAGAATACAAATAACAGCTCAACATTGTAACAGACAAGATACTTTTTATGTTAAAGTTCTGAAATGCAATACACATAAAATATTTTCAGCTTGTACTAAAATATTTGGCCCCAGATAAAATATATCAATAAATGCGAAAAGCTTTCTAGACCCACAACTTGAATAAATCTTATGCATTTTAACAAATTTTATAATATCTTAAACGACAAACAGAAAATTCATTTCTTAAATGACAACACACTGAATTCAGACTAGAGAGAGGAGGGGAAGCCTGACAGAATTACTATTCACAGGTTTGGCTAAAAAACAGACAGAAAATTCATTTCTTAAATGACAACACACTGAATTCAGACTAGAGGGAGGGGAAGCCTGACAGAATTACTATTCACAGGTTTGGCTAAAAAACAGACTGTTTATCTTTCTGAAATATTTATTACATAGATTCAGTCTTTGAAAAATAAACAGAAAATTATAAATGATGTCTGTGGCTTACATATTTCACATTTAGAAAATATGTATATGATAACTGATTATGTATTCTGTCACTTTCTATTTTATTTTGGTAGTTTTCAGCTTAATTCTATTTAGTAGGCTCTACTTTAAAAAATAATAATATTTATAATATAATTTAATTCAGCATTTATGCAAAAACTTACATTTTCCTTTTATTTGAGAATGTTTTTCTTAATCAAAATATTTCATTATTACATAATGTTTTTTTGATATAATATTTTAAAATTATGAACTAAAATTCCTGGCAAATATGAAACATTTGACATTTTACTCTAACAAATGCATACAAACTGAAAATATATTCAATATACAAATCAGTTTATCATAATTATGCAGCTAATGAGTTGATTATGAGAATTCTGGAATATAGGTAATCTGTTTACATATCATGAAGATGATTCCTGATTCCGAATCCATTTACACATAAAATATTTTCTGCTTACTAGATTATGTGTAAACACAGAACACTAGATTACCAAGTAAAATTTAAATGATTTGATGTACCCAGAAATTAATGTGTTTTAGTGTACACAGAATATATTTATACACATGCATGATAAGCAAATATAATTTTTTATGACCAGTCAGTGAATAAAATATGCTTGACAATAAAGTTTTAAACAAGAAAATATTTCAGCTAAAATAGGAAATTGAATCATGATCTTACATGCTATTTGACAGCAAGTACACTCCCAGACTTCATTCCACAACTAATAAGGTTATCCTAAAATACATTTTATATGAAGCTAATATATAAAAGGAATAACTACATCAACAATTATACTTGTAACATTACTTTTACAGGATTATTATTAAATTTTGCTATTTGAATGCATAGGTATACATAGAATAAATTGCATGAATATAATATAAGTGACATAAATAATTAAATAAGATACTCAGCACATAATATAACCAACAACTACAATAAATAAATAAATAAATAAATAAATAACAAGGCAATATGATTGGCCTTGGTTAAAATAGCATACACAGAAGTACTTTAAAAGATATTTATGTTCATAAGCTAAGAAACAATTTTAAGCAAACTTAAAAAAAAAAGGGAGAACTTGAAATGTTAAAAATAATAAATATTAAATCAGTCTTTATGTTCTGCTAGAAGTGAAAACCTAAATGTTACACACTGTTATGCAACATAATAAGATTTAACAGGGAAAATGTGAACCATCTGATGATATATATACATGCAATATGCACATGTAAAATGCAATAGAATATATATCTACTAAAAGTGATAAACTACAAAAGATGAAGAAAAAAATCAAACACCTTGAAGCATAAATCTTATTCTATTATATTTCCATTCATTTTGCGCAATATCAATAGTTTTCAATTAAATACGTTTAAACTATTAATTTCTCTATATATGTGTGTGTTTGCATAAACATAAATATTTAGTCAAAGTAAACTGAACACTATTTAAATTTTTGCTATAAAACAGTTTTATAAAATTCTTGGTCACAACTTAAATTGTATTTAGACTTTCGGTGGTTACATACTATAATGAGGCCTAGGACTTTTTGCCATCAAGACATATTATTTTTTTTTTTCATGACTATTATACCTTGCCATATTATACTCCTATTCTATATTTCGATCGAAGCCGTTTTTTGAGATATTGCGATTTTGAAAAATTTTTTGACCACTGTCTTTTATGCATTGATGACCTACTGTTTTTACTGTAACACTATTATAAACATACAGTACACCTAATTATCACACTGAGAAAACCCTTCCAAATAAATTCTTCTCTGGGGAAAAAGTCACTAATGCTAGGTAATATTGCAGAAATTCCAGAAGACGTGTTTAATGGCAAAAGGTTCTTTTTCTTTTAAAATTTAAGACAGCCAGAAGTATACAATAGTAAACAAAATTATTAAATTAAATAAACTAAAGAATATAATATTGTAAGATATAATATAGGCATATAAAGAAAAATACCTCTTAAATATACAACAGGTACACAAAATTATTAAACTAAATTAACTTAAAATAATACAATCATGTAAAGAAAAATGTGCATTGATGGTGAAACTGCGAACGTAGAATAATTCCATTCCCAATATAATGTATAGGCTTCACACAGGAGATAACAGATTTTGATCGATTTCTTTAAAAAAGTTTCTTACTATTACAAAGTTAGCATTTATATTTAAAAATTCTTATCATATTATAATCTCCTCAAAAAATATGAAGAACTTTTTAAAAAAATGCTTAACAATAAATTAGTGAATTCCGTTAAGCAGTGGTCGGCAAACTACGGCCCACCACCTGTTTTAGTCTATATAATACTTTTTACAAGAAAAAAAATTAAGTAAATGCAATTACGTGCTCTAAACTGCTGGTAGTCATCAATTTGAGGATGAAAAAAATGGACTTATGCTTCAAATGTCATGCTTTTACAGTAGAACAGAGTGTCAATTATTTTGTCATAGAATTACATGACGAAGTATTATGTTTATGATGTAATGACGGAATAGTTGTGTGAAAAAAGTATAGTACATTATTATTATGAAGCTAAGCATGTGACACAATATTCAAGAGTTGCAAAAGATGAACGATTGCTGAAATTGAAAAGTTTGGAACAGAATGCTTCATCACAGCACAATTTATTTGCAAAAGTAAAAAATGATAATGCAGTAGTAATCGAAGTCAGCTTACCAATACTTATCAGCTACAAAAGAAAGACCATTTATCAATGGTGAATTAATTAAATCAAATTGCTTATGGTAGCTGAAGAAATATGGCCACAGAAAATGGATTTGTTTCAATCTGCCAATCTTTTAGTGAGAATAAGTGTTAGGAGAATTGAGGACACTGGAAGCCACATAAAGTCACAAGACAAGGAAAAAAAATTGTAGTGCTTTTCAATGGCTCAACTGCTCTGAGTTGACAGACATTACTGATACTACCCAAGTGTTGCTTTTATTTGAGGAATCAATACTGAATTTCAGGAGACTGAAGAATTAGTATCTATGAGCCTGAATGTAATTAAATCTAAGGTATCTTTAAGAAAGTCAAGGAAATGCTAACACCATACAATTTGCAATGGACAGAAATGTGTCAGAACCAATGGTGGTAAATATATGAGTGGAATAGGTAAAGGATTAGTTGGACATATTTTTGATGCCATATGCTAAAAAACTGAGAACAAACTAAGGACTAAAATCTTCTGGAAATTCACTATCTTATTCACCAGCAAACTCTCTGCAGGAAACACTTCAATCTGTCATGCATTATTGAACCGTGTCAACAAATAATTTTATTCGGGATGCAATCATCATCAGCTTCATGATTTTTTATTAGAAATCAAAACCATACATCCTGATTTGCTCTACCATAAAGTAGTTTAATGGGTCACAATGGAAAAGTTTAATGAGATTTTCAACTCAAAATTTGCACTGTTTGAAATACAAATCAAATTAACAAAGTTTGATCACTTTCCATGATGTAACAATATTTATTAGCAAAATCTCCATCCCCCCCCCCAAATTTGCAGTGGATATATTTTCTGAACTGCAGATTATAGTTATAACAGTGTTTTTCAGATGCAAATGCAAAAGACAAGTATGAGCTTTTATCAGACCTGCAGTTCAAAGTGACTGATCTGCAAATATGCTAAAAATGATGTTTAAAAAAATGAATCTAGTATAATTCTATAATTATCTTTCAGCAGATAAAAATGGTAAATTAAAATTTAATGCACGGGAATTTATATCTGCATTTGAGAATACTTACCAACGTGAAAGAGCATTTTCAAAAATGAAGTATGTAAAGTTGCACTACAGATCATTATCAATCAGATGACCATTTGCAATCAATACTAATGATAAGACCTCCAATAGGATGAAATATTATCTCCGAAAAAAACAATTCATTTTATGGTATTAGAACAAAATTTAACTTGTTCTATAATATGTAATAAATGAAAAAATATATATATTTTGGTAAGGGTCAGAATGCGAATAAATATTATCTAAAAATATAACTTCCCATAAGAACTTTTTTTGCCTGCAAAGCCTAAAATTTTCACAATCTGGCCTTTCCAAAAAAAGTTTTCCAACCTGTTGTATAGAAACAGCTTTAAGATATAGCACATTAGTTGGATTCACGAAGAATTCAGTTAACGTGTATTTCTAAAGAAAGGACAGTACTAAATATGTTAAGGCCTATATTTTAATTTATGCTTAGCAGACTGTAATTATAATTAATAAGTAAATTTTAAAACGATCCAAATAATTTTAAATATTTAATATATACATATAATAAATTTGATTATTATTTATACTATATCTTTTAAAATTTGAATATAAATAAATAATAAAAATAATCTGTTTAAGATATTGGTAAGCAAATAAATATTATAACCACACTAAACTGCTTACGAAAACAGAGAAAAAGAATTTGTAAAAAGAATACAAAACAGAGCAATTTTTGAAAAAGTCCAGTACAAACTTACTCAAAATCTAATATTAATACTTACTTGAAATAAAATTAAATACTGTGTAAAGCAACAAAAATTTTCAGATTCTTTGAAATTTATAGAATACAATAATGCATTAACATGAAAGTAATCACAACTTCAGGCAAAAAAAAATGATTTTAACGAACTGCTATATGATATACAAGGAAAGAGTGCAACAAAATACAACAGGCCACAATTTCCACAACTACTTTACAATTCAGTTTCCAAATTAAAAATTAATTTATGAGATGAAACTAAATATATATAACTGAGCATTTTGAAAATCATATTTGTAAAATATGACATGAGAAATATCCAATGAAGATATCAAATGGATATGATGCAGAAATTTTCAAAAATCAGAATACCAGTCATTAAAAACCAACAACTTCGCATAAAGAAAAGTTATGCAAATATACTTAAATTTTTGCACTTTTCCTAAAAACGTCCTCCACGAAGAAGGCTAATGTAAATAGACTTGATATATCATAATCCACTCTATTCTAAAAATATTTGCAAGAAAGATATTGTTCAACAAACCAATACTGAATTTTAACCACAATTTCTTTATTAAAAATTAAGCTACTTTATTGAAATATTATAATTTCTTGATTTTACTAATTACAGAAGTCTATGATATCAATTACATTTAATATTCAGTATAAAAGAGCAAACTTTTCTTTTGCATGTTTGCTTTAAAAAATTGGTTCTTAGCTAATTTTTTAGAATATTAATCAAATCCTCAAATTTAAATGAAGGTGATTTTATTATATTTTTAACAAGATAAACTTGAACAAACATGAAATCATTCTTTTACGCACATATGATAAATACATCAAACTGTTTACAAAAGTACTAAACTGTCAAACTAACAGAAAACTGTACTACAGAAAAATATGTCAAAAACTGTACCTTAAGTTCTTCAGAATAACATACAAAAATATTTATTTACATGCTTACCTAATGCCCCAAACATATTTTTCAGAAAAACACCAGATAATGTTAAAAGTAGTTCTACAGATTCAAAAATTACATAATACTATAAAAAATTACAATGAAAAGTCATTTTTATATAACAAATTACAATCAAAGGATTTAAGGAAATTTGCATTTATGAAATCATCCATAAAGTTTTCATAAAACAAAATAAAACAACAAGAGAACATATTATTAAACAAAATTATGATAAACACACAAAGCTGAAAATTAAAATATGATAATACATGTTAACTTCTAATATTATATTCAAGCTAATTAAAAATGCATTCTACGCAGATTTTATTTATTTATTTATTTTCTTGGCATTTTAGAAAATTAAATGGCAAAAAAAGTCAACAATATGACACTGACAAGACAAATCACAGATTTCAACATTCATTATACTGTAATTTTCCAACAGATAAAACATTTCATACAACCAGACTATGATACAATATCTTAAACATTAAATTTAAAATGCTTAATTTAAGAGAAAATGCATTAATATGAATAAACTGTTTTACATTTAATGAACACTCAATAGTGTTATCTTTTATCTAATGCATATAAAAGTGGCACATTTAACAACCTTCAACAAACAGCATTGTGTGCGTTAAGACTGACTGAAACAAGCCTGTGTTTCAGAGATAAATTACACCAGCATACAACATCTCCTGGGCTAACAAATGCATAATAACCATCTTTCACACATACTGAAACACAAGTAATACATCAACCACAACTCCACAATTTATGTATGAATCAAACTTGAGCTCAGCTGAACATCTCAATCACCAGATTCTTCAGGCAATGTAGACTCAAATATGCATAAAGCTTGATGTACAAATTCATACTGCTCAGCAGTTTGTACCATTCCTCCTCTAAAATTAAGAATATTTAAGTATAAATATATTATATTCAATAAGCTGAATGTATGTGTAACATTCATATCTAAGAAGTATCACACAATCTTACTGGAAAAATCATGAAGAAGTAAATTTTATAAATTCATTAACTATACTACTATGCAGTACTTGGAATTGTATTATGAAGGTCAAAAAGCTTTCAAGGTACTGATTTTCATCTCTAATATATTCAAAGAAAAACAAACCAGAATGCCAAAAAAATTTATAAAGATTAATTCAAAATTACAAAATAAAAATGCATACTAATACAGAAAGGAAATCATAATCCATTACAAAAAATATTAAATCAGTGCAAACGTAGAATTGTTCATGAAATACATATCATCAATATTCAGAATCAAAACAATATTACATAATATTTAAATATTACATTTACAATATAAATAAACATTTGAAATGTAAATGAATTAGAAAACAATAAAAATTAAATAAATAACTACAGGTACCTCTCTATTTAATTACTGCAATTTATAAGCTATCAAATGTATCATCATCTCTCTTATATTGTTTTTCTCTAAATATTGCCATTTGCAATCTTCTTTATCTTCTACTACTAATTTCATTATATAGGTTATAACTATGTGAAACTACAAACTATACGAAAGTTAAATATACATACAGTTTGTTATACTGCTATGAAACCATGAACAGGTTATAGTTATAGTGTTTAAAGTTACATTGCTTTAAAATTATGATTTGTTTATAGTTAAATTTGAAACTGTTTATATTAAAATTTATTATATTTCAGTTACTATCTTGTATATTAATATATACTATAGTTCTTTCTTTCTTATGCTCAGCTAAAGTACTATATCTCAAATATCTCATATAAAAATAAAGGAATAATCAAATTTCTGTCATAAAAGCAGTAATCCAGCAGGAGGCATATAAATTGAAATTTATCCTATAGATAAAACCTCAAACAAAGATAAAAAGTTACACGCTTTCATCTAGATGTTTCAGCTTGTCGTGTAAATTAATTTTTGTAACACATTATGCAATGTATATTTATAATTAAAACATCACTTTCTATTTATTGTGAGCTCGAATAGATTGGCCTAAAAACCATAATTTTTCAACAATTTACGCTCAAATGAAAGAAACCATGAAAAACTTGAAAATAAATAAAAATAAAAAAAATAAATAATAAATAAATAAATAAAAAACCCCACATTTCCACTTTCAGAAGTGATCAGGCACATGTCCATTTTTAGAAAAATTTAGCCAAGCATTTTGCAAGTTTTACTTATAATTTTAAAAAGAAATATGCAACCAAGATACCTGTCTAATCTCAAAGAACAAACAATTCCTAAGACATCAATCATATTTTCTTCCAAAAGCTGCTGAATCCCAATACTTGCTGCAATAAAACAGCCAGTTCTACCAATGCCAGCACTGTTAAAAAAATATGGGGGTTAATATATTGTTACAACATATATTGGTTAAATCCAATTTACAAGCAGTTACGGTTAAATATCAATCCAGATTCTAAAATATAAGATTTATTTTTATATTTTATTTACCTGCAGTGAACAACCATTGGCCCTTTAATTGCTCCAGAATTGTCATGTCTTAAAGCTTCAACTTCTAAAGCCATGGCAAGAAGCTGTTTTGCAGTCTCAGGAGTTTTATGATCTGGCCAAGCAGTATACCAGAAATGATGGACAGTATGTGTTTCACTTCCTCTCTACAAATAACCCATAAAAAAATTAAAAAATTAAACATATTGTTATTCTGCATTTGTAAAAATCAATTTAAAATGAGAAAATGATGACCCCCCCCCCCCCCAAAAAAAAGAAAAATTTCATAGACGATTCTAAAATTTAATACAAATTTGTAAATTCTGTATTAACAAAACAAACAAAAAGAGTAATGATTAGTTAATAATTTTCAAAGTATGCACTATAATATAAACAATCTCAAAAGAACGACATCAGCAAGAGGTAAAATGTAATATAGAGGCAACAGTTTTAACATGCTTGTTAAACAAATGCTGACCTAAAAACAAAGTTTTAATTCCAGTATTTAAGTTCATAATGTGTTCATCTTCATAGCATAAAATAAAATGTTCATATTTTAAAAGGGAGTGGAAATTAAATATTTTTTTAAGTGAGAAAACAAAAAGGAAAAAATACATAATTACAGCAAATTTAACCTTATGATGTAGATTTTTCCATGTGTAGCTATAGATTCAATTTACTTATATATGAAGATTTCTCTTCCATCTTATATTTTCAAACATTTGATTTTTATCTTGCATTACAAGAATTTTTTAATTCATTATCTCTAATTCTTACATTCAATACTTCATAACTTCGTTATGTTTCCATTTCTAAAAAATCTGCAGGTGGTATTTATATTTTGATGATGATATAAAATGTAAGTAAGATTAGCAGAAAGACTCTTTTATTAGTCTGCCAAAAATCTGTGAAAATTCCCAAAATGATCCTTACAACTTATCACTAATAAGAAATATACGTATTTTGCATAACAAATTAATATGTCAAATGCAGTTCTATAAATGCTGTACTAATAAATAGGTTTAAAGTATTTAATACTTTACTTTTCACACAACATGATTTATAAATCAGACATTTCCTATTCTTTACATGATACATAAACTTTTATAATAGAACTAAATGTAAAATCATATACTTAAACCAGAAAATATTTTGTTTTTAATTACAGGCAACCAAAATTATAATAAATAGAAACATAATACCAAATAGTATTTAAATTATACAATTACCCGTAGAAATAGCTCTCTAATTGTATACCCATCTCGTGGAATAACACGCATAACTGTAACTTCTATATCAGAATAACGATCCTGATAATCTGGTATGTATGGTTCACATTTCACCTATACATAAGAAAAGAAACCATTCTAAATATTACACAGAAGAGCAAAAAAATTAGTAAATATAATGAAATCTCTAACTAGCATTACCATCTGATTATCATTTTATCTTGGTAGGTTTCTTTATTTCTTACCAGAAATATACTGTCAACACATAAAAAGGATTCACTTAATTTAAAGCATATAAATTACAAACTGCAATCACATTTGAAATATTAGTGAAAGATAATTATCATTATAATAATAAATATGATTGCTGATGTCTGATAATGGAAAATGTATATGCAAGACTTTCTGAAATTTGCATGCAGTGTAGATAGGATTTCATTATACATGGGTAAATATATTCTCCTGAAAAATTCCATTATTTTGGAGAGATATCAGAGAAAAACTTCTCATTTTATACACAATCATGTAGCTATTAGTAAGCAAAAAACATTATAAACTTATTAACTTTATTATAAATTAAAAAAATTAAAAATATCTTGAGGCTGATTGCAAAGCAAATCATAAAATTTCCATAGAATATGATGCACATTAATTTTATAAAAATTTCACCAGGATTTAAGGCCAATTTTCTAGCTGTGAAGATTTACATTAACAATTTTGTAGAAGTTTTGTGATAAAATATTTGTGTGACAGCAGTATTTGTGATAGCAGTATTTCATTGAAAAAACTGTCTACTAGATATAAAAACGAAAATTGATACAACTCAAAAAATATTACAGTACATATATTATAGATTAGTCAAATACTTCTGTTTGTGTTATCATCATCATCATTACATTAGTTCTAAGGTTAGCATTCCCGAGGATGGCATTTTTATATATCATGTAGCGCATACACAGATTTTCTTGTCTAATGGAGTGTTTGTTAACCTCTAATACATTTCTTTGAATTTAAAAATTATTCTGTAAGTATAGAGAAATAACATTAATTTTCTATTAATTCAGAAGAATGACATATTCTCATATTTCAGAAGTGTAGCAAATCTTTGCTGACACAAAAGTTCTTTACATGAAAGAAATTTGGTACTGATGTAGCATGCATGTGATCTACTGCTTTTAGTCAGTTATTTATTTCTTAAGATTACACTACTAACATACTATTTTTAAATATGAAAATAAATACACATAATTTTAATTACAAATGAAAATGATTACATAAATAAGAATGATTCCAATAATTAGTAACTTATGAAATTTTTAATTCCATTAAATTTAAATTGCTTCCATTTTTACAAAACAAAAGCAGGAGTGCCCCACACAAAGGCTGATTTCGTGAGCCATTCAGCCATATCCACTACAAATGTCATACAGCAGAGACAAAAAACTGTCATTAATTTTATTAACAAATTACCACCACACTTCTGTGAGATACAATGGAAGTTTTTGTGGTGTAGTACTCTGCATGCTGTGCAGAATTTCTAGCTTCAAAATATCTCAGCACAATTCAATTGAGTATCAGTACTGTCTGCAGGACTGACCAAGTTCTGCTGGTGATTTACAGTTTGATAACTGTAGGATACAATTACAAAAGTAGTAGATCACACACCACATCAATAGCAAAATAATATATATATATATATATATAATATTATTTTGCTATATATATATATATTACAGAATATTTTTATTCAAAGAAATGTATAGAGGTTAACAACACTCCATTAGACAAAAATCTGTGTATGCGCTACATGATATATAAAAATGCCATCCTCGGGAATGCTAACCTTAGAACTAATGTAATGATGATGATGATAACACAACCAGAAGTATTTGACTAATCTATAATATATGTAGTGTAATATTGAAATCTCAGAAATGCTCCAAAAATTCATGAAAATAATCATTAAAAAAATCCATGTGTTAATAAAATTGTTACCGTTTTATGATTGCATTTACTTAAAAATAATGAGTTATTACCTTTGCTAGGCAGGATTACCTATTTATAAATCATTCAGAATTTTAACTGTGTGAAGTCAGAAGATGAAGTGCAACAAGGGTTCACATATGACAACAGCATGGGATTGAGTACTTTCAATAAAAAACTCCCATAGTTTTTTTCTCGCTTGTATATGAGATTTGTATTTCCTTTAAATTTATCAAAAGCTTAACAAATACTCATTTAAAGTGTTTATATATATATATATAAAAAAAGTATAAATCCACTGAAGTTAAACTTAACAAGTTTCTCTTTCATTTACTAAAAATGCTCCATAATAATATTACACCATGTAAAATAAAGGATAATAAATCTGACTACTTTTATGCATAAGCTTTGTAAAGAGGAAAAATCATGTAACCCTCAGAAACTCCTTTAAGTTGGCAGATTTACGTAAATTTATTACAATTACACTACATATAAAGATAAAAGAAAGTAATAACTTCTAACATAACAGTTGCTGCAGATGAATCATGGTGAACTGCTATAATCATTAGTAATAAATCCTGATGTTTAGTTTAAAGCCAATACAAACAGAAGGGTGAATCAAATATAAAACAAAATTTATTTCATAGGAAACATCTACATTTCTACTAATTATTTTTCTAAATAATCTCTTCCTTTTATGATATTTTTCCTCAACATTTCAAGAATTTTTTACTTCCATTCTTGTAGAATGAAGTTGGATGAGTAACTAACCAGTTGCGCAAAAATTTTTGTACTTGATCTTTAGTCTCCAAACATTTCCCTCCAAGTGCTTCTTTGAGATGTCCAAACATCTGAAAATTGTACAGCAATAAGTCTGGGCTGTAAGGTGGAAGAACAAGCATCTTCCAGTGCATTTCCACCAGTTTTTGCTGTGTTACACCTATTGGGGCCTAGCGTTGTTGTAGAGAATCAACATCTCGTGGATGGGACAATCTCGCCTTTTGTGTCGATACTGAAACCTAACTTGATCCAAAAGACCACAATAGTAGGTTGTGTCAGTGTCAGAAATCCACCAGTAAGACCCCACTCCAGTCCTCCCAAACCATGGTCAATACTTTCCAGCGGCAATCAAGTTTTAGTCTTTTACTGGGTTTCCTTCTCTATGCCATGGTTGTACACTTTGACTGGAGGATATAATGATGCACCCATGTCTCATCACTGATAATTTTATGAAGAAAAGCTTCCCCATCTTCTTCACAAGTTTGAAGCAACCGAGCAATGCGAACAAATGCAGTTTTTTTTATCGTCATCAGAATCCAAGAATTGGAACCTAACAAGTTGAGATTTTTTTGAAGCCTAAATGAAGCTTTCTGATGACTGACTGGACACTTCTATAGCCGATACCAAGTTCTTTCGAAACTTGAAGCACTGCACAGAATCAATCACATTCGATAACGCTGACAAACAGGTACAATGTTTTCATTACTCTCACTGGTACAAGGATGACTTTGATTCACAACACATCACAGCCTTGCTTGAAACTCATTGCACCAAACCTTTTTTCTTGACCATCAAAGAAGGGTAGCTTCCCTGAACTGGGCCTGCAGTCTGTGGTAAATTTCAGCTAGTTTCACATATTCATGGATGAGGAACTTTATAATAAAGTGTTGTTCAATAAAGATGGGCACACTCCTCTCATTCATAAGGGGTACTAAATAATGTAAGGGATAGGATAGCTGGTGTGTCTCTCTTACTCTAGGCAACCCTACCTAATGACTTCAACTGCCCAAACACATATAAATACCCATCCCAACACTCAACCAATAAAGGCTCGTTTATATTTGATCGCCCTATGTATATGATTAAGGATAAATAAAATCCCAATGTCTTTTGAAATGAAATATACTGCAAATTAGTTTCCTTCTCTTTATCTTCTTTTCAAAGATTATTTGTTTTAACAAACAAATCAGTGTTTACATTATCTCTATTTCATCAGTAGTTTGTTAATATTTCAACAATCTGAGGAATAATTTTCTCTCTTTTTATAAAATCAATTTTGCTTCAATGAATTTTCTCTTCATTTCAGAATTTTAGAACATAAAGATTTCTGTTATTCTAAAGCACTGCTTGTACTTTTAAATGTACAGAAGAAATTGCTAATTTTATTTCCTTAATAATATGAGTATTGAGAATAAATATGAAGTGATACAAGGTCAAGGTCAACACCAGAGCTAGTGTGGCAGAATTTCTGGAATTTAATGTAGTACCAAGCAACAACATTTAGGGCAGGCACTGAGATATATATGGTGAACTGAGACATACGAGATGAATTCTTTAATAAATTGTCAGTTTTCATTTTCTTTGCTCGCTTCAGTACTTGTGTCTAGTTGAAAGATAAGAAAATAAAGAGAAGACAAACATGTTAAATGAAAGGACCTCTGGGATCAAAAGAAGAAAATTCAAATAATTTTGTTTTTACTATTCTTCCAAAAGTTCTTCAGAAGATGAGAAATTATTACAAATTTCTTATAAAATGCAACTACCATAAAGACACATTTCCTCACTTTTTTTTTTTTTTTTTTTTTAATTGTAGGTCTCTAAACTCGCCTTTAGACCTCCTGAGGCACAAGGTCTAAAATGCAAAAGGAAACTTATCCCTGTCAAATTTACAAGAGCAAAAAGCCAGAAAGATTCAGTGTGAACTAAATTTTCAAGAGAAAAACTGATACACCTTTAAATATTCTGAAACAAACGCATGGAAAAAACTTTTAATCATGAAAATATATAAAAGAACATTAATGAAATTAAATTTTAAATTAATAGCATCTTTGTGTTTTTCTAAGACGCATTTTGGAAAATGCGCTTTATAGCATTTATCATCTTGTTTATTTTTCAAAATCAAAATATTTGTTAAGTAGCCAAAAAGGAAAGTAATGTCATGTTAAAAATAGCAGAAGAAATAAAAAATAATTTTTTTAATGTATTCTTAAATATAATTTTAATACATTATCATTATTTTTATATTTATCAATGTTATTTATTAGGTTTGTAAGAAAAACTGTCACAATTTCTCAAATCTTTAAATAGAAAATTTTTGTATACAAACCTATCTTGAAGTCTCCAAAATGTTGATAAGTCGCCAAATTCGGAGCTGCATAATTTCAAAAGATTTCAAATGTTAACCCATTAAATACATACAATGAAGATCCACAATATTATGACCACCTACTCAATAATGTGTTGGGCGACCTTTGGCCTACAAAACAGCTGCAACTCGCCTTGGCACGGATGCCACAAGTTCTTGGTAGATGATTGGACTCAGGTTGTACCAAATGTCTAAACAGCAGTCATGCAATGTCTGACATGGGGGTGTTCAAGTTCTGAACTGCTGCTCTGACATTCCAAATGTGCTCTATCGAGTTAAGATCCCCTATGTTAGGTGGACAGGTCATTAATTGGAATTTATCCTAATGCTCCTCAAACCACTTCAAAATAATTCAAGCCTTGTGACATGGGGCACTGTCCTGCTCGATGATTCGATTTCTAGTTGGGAAGACAGACATTATGTGAGGGTGCAAATGATCCACAATTTAGTTCATATAGTCCACAGCTTTCATGTTCTCTTCTACCACAACTAAGGGTCTCAGAGACACCCATGAGAACATCCCCAAAGCATAATACCGTCACCACTAGCCTGTGTATGACCTGCTGTACAAAGGGGGACAACTGTTCACCAGGAAAATGGCATTGCCTGACACAACCATCGACTTGATGAATGAGAAATCATGATTCATTCGACCAGGCAACTGTCTTCCACTTATCTATGATCCAGTCTCGGTGTTCCCGTGCCCAGTGTAGGCATAGTTGTCACTGACGCTTGATTAACAGAGACACTTGAAGGGGATGCGTACTGCACAGTCCCACATTCAACAGTGTCTGCTGTCTGTCTGTTCCGAAGCACTTGGACCTGAAGTATAGGGCTGTGTCAGCTGAGCTACTATCTGATGTTATTTTGCAGTACCAAGCGGGACAGTCTCCAATGTCCTTTTTCTTTGACGATGCATGGACGTCAAATACTTTGGCATCTACTGCTGGTTTCACCACCATTTATAAATTTTGCACAAATATGAACAACGGCAGATCGTAAACAACCAACCAGTCATTCATTCCGAATCTTTGTTCCATTACAATATACCCTCTACCAAATACGCTTAGATCAGCAGCCTTTCCCATCACTTACAAAAGTAACTCCAAGAATGATTTCTTGTCTTCTCCAGCAGCAGTTAAATACCCTTCCCACTTAATCATGTGCCCTCCATATGATCCAGATGAGTTCATTGAAAATTGTGGAGATGGTCACTCAACCTGGCAGTTGTAAACAAATATCAGACAAGTAAAATTAAGGAGGCTGAAATTAAGGACTTGAAAGGTCCAAAGAATTATATAGAACGTTAAAAGTGAAACAAAGCATTTCATTCCATAGATACAAATTTATTAGCACTAATAAGTAAACATAATTACACAACAAAAACAAAATTAAAAAATTTCAATTTACGAGACAATTTTATCACAAACCTTTTGAGAACTACTTGGAATCTAACGAAAAGCATAACCAATTAAATCACAATGTTGCAATAAAATAAATAACTTCCTTATTATCTTTAAAAAGACATTTTTCTCATGCGAGAGAAATTGAAAGCCCAAAAAGTCACATTTTTAAACTTACTTTCATTTTTTCTTTTAATTTTGTGATCATAACAATAAGAGGAGTTTTTTCTTTCCAAATCATCAACCAAAAATCATGAACAGTATGAGGCATTGGTCCTTGAGTGGCAATATATGCATTTACTTCTCCGCCATATCCCTAATAAAGTAAATGTAACAAGAGTCAATTTAAATGTAACAATGCATTAAGCAGTTTAAAAAGACATCAAAATAGCAACATTATTTATGGATTATTTATAATTATTTATAATGTATGGATCTATTTTCACAAAATATTTTTACTGATTTGAATTACATGACTTCTGGGATTTTATTTTTATATTTATTGTTCATGTCACATTAGAAAATACTTTTCTTCTTTCATCAAAATTTAATTTTCGCAGAAGTGATTAAATTTCCCACACAAGTATTAAATAATATACACTTCCTTAATTTTTTTATTTTTATTTAAACTCTTAATACAAATTTCAGAAGCATACTACAGAACTCTGCGTCCACTGTAGAATATGGTTCTACTATTTCGAGAAGCAATGTTGTAAAAAATACGCTGTGAAATATGAATATTGTTGAACAAAGAGAACGAAAGGGAAAAAAATGTGTGAAACGCTAGATTAAGTTGCGTCCAGCATTTTGGTTAAAAATTTGCTAAATCGTGTTAATCATTCGATGACCAGCAGGAAGTCATCCCCTTTTTTTGGCATTATTGGCTTAACAGCAAATTCCAGCAACCCCAAGCTCACCCCACTCTTGACGAGAAAAGCAATTAAAGAATTCATTCACTGACCAGGAGGAGAAAAAAAGCAATTGTAATGGTATCTGCTTCATCTTTGACATATCAACCTCCTAAAGCTGGAAAATCACTGCACAGTTCCACTAAGATTATCGTAATGAATAGTTTTTGTCAAATTACCACAGCATATTCCTAATAATTCCGATAATGTTACTTGTTATAATAATCTTAGCGAAATTGAATACCTCAGTTAAAAAAAGGCCCTTTTAAGAGCCACAAATTAAAAATACTGGGGCCGTTTTCAAGGCAAAAAATAAAAATAATAGGCAAACTATAAACAGTTATAAAAAGCATTATAAATACAAGCTAACAACCTTTAGAAAATATAATATGAAAGTGTCCCTCGAGTAGCCGAGTGGTTAAATCTCAGAATACTGATAGTTTGAGATTGTTCGAGCCCAAGCTAACGGTTCATTGTTTGAGCCCAAGCTAACTGCATGGGAGTCCGACTCCCATGCAGTTCAGAGTTTACAGTCATTACAAACAAACTCGCTGCATACTACCAGTGTTTCATGGCTTAAGCAACTCTATCAACTACTCTGCTGCGAAGCAAAAGACTCACCTTTCATGCCCCGTCACACATAGACGTTTTATTCATCAAAGCATAAAAACTTTAAAATTTATCTTTTAAATACAAGGAAACAGTCGTTAATTAATATAGTAAATGTCTTAAAAGCAATAAACACACTTCTTAAGAATTAAATTTTTTTATACTTTTTTAGATTTTATGAGCATTTGCACTTTAATGTAGCTAATATAAGACATTTCTAATGTTATAAATATTTTAATTGATTGGTATAAGGTCATTTGTTTCTTAATTTTTATGTTTGTTTCACAATTTTAAAGTTTTAATAATTATCTAATGCCTTAAAATTTTTAATGGAAAACTCTTAAGTTGTTAGACTACAATCTGAAGATCTCAGTTTCCAGTCTTTTTATTTATTTTTTATTTTAAACAGTAATCAGAAAGATAGTATAAAACTTACTGTAGGAGGATGATTATCTGGTCTTGACTGAAAGTGAATGTGTCTTAGGAGACAATTAATACAGGATACAATTTTTATACTGTTTGCTATCTAATAATAATAATAGTCAAAATTTTTTAAACAATTGGCAATTTAAAATTAAATTAATGTCTTTAAAAAATAAAAAATCGAAAATTTTCCCCTCGTTCACTGTTTTGGAAGCAAGAAGCCACGTAAATTCTTAAAACTTAATAGCAAATAACCTACTACCAGATTTTCAAAATTTATATATTTTACTTCTAACTAAGCGAACAGTCTTGCGGAAAAAATTTGACCCAAACTACAAGGAATACCTTGTTAGCTCTTCCATTTCAAGTTTTATGTAACGATTCGGGTTTTAAATGTCATCAAATTCATATATGTCACATTTAGATAATAGTGAAAAATTTCATATACATTAAGACAATGAATAACATGCCCTATATTTTATACTACAATGAACTATCAGTTTTATTGCATAAAAAGATTGTTTTTTAAATATGCTGGATTTGGCAAGAAGTCTCGAAATGTACAGAGCATTGGAGGAATTGAATCTCCGCGGGCAGTTTGCTGCGTTTGGATAACTTGAAGAACAGGGTGCAAAAGGTTGTTCTAGCCTTGTATGTGTTCTCAGGTTAGCTTGTCGTTAAGTATAGTATCAAAATAATACTTCATATAAGCTGCAATCAAAAATAAGACTTTTGGGAATAAAGAGGGAATATCAGTTAAATTGAAGTATTTTTGGGTGAAAATTTTCACTGTTTCCAGACTCAGGAGTGGAAGTTTCAGCGTTATTTTAGTTTGCGATCTGCAAGATCAGAGTAAGAAACATTTTTTATAAGTAACCAGATAGATCTAATAAAACTAATAATACTGAGATTAGTTATGAAATTCAAACAAGAAAAGTTCCATTAAAAACAAGAAATATAAAATCTGTGCAACACTGCTGAATATGGAAACAGTAACAGATGCCATACATCACTTGACAATTTTACCACGGAACTCCATAAGAGTTGACAGAGGTATGCTAAGATCTATTGTTCACAGTACTTAGGCCTCATTTAATTTAAGCAGTATAATATAGTTTCTTTGGCCTGACATGATTTGTTACTGGTTCCACTGTTTCGTGCATGAAAGAATTCTTCACATATAATTTATTCACATATAGATATGATTCTCTTTGAAAGACTATATAAACAGAAATCTAGAGATCGGGGAGCTGAAAATTCTCACTGTATCATGAAAGGCAGGCATACACATAGAAAATTGGTTTTGACTACGTAATGCCATGATTTTTTTTTCTTTCAATATACCGTGGAAGAAACGGCGTGGCGTTTACGTGTTTAAAACTTAAATTTTCAGCGGGTGCGGCGTTTAGGTGCACTAAAAATAAAATATTTCCTATGATGGTCATTGTACATAGTTTGGATGGTCTTGTCATTGTGCATAGACTGGTGCTGTTCCCACACAAAAGACCACTCAGTTGCTTTTAGCGAACGTTATTTTGTTTACATTCTTTCCTTGAACGGACTTACATGCCTTATTCACCCTAAACAAGAGCTCAGAACAATAACATTCTTCCCCCTTTCAATCAACATTCTCATCAGTTTGAATAGTCTCTCTCCTCTCTGGCGCATTCGATGATCTTCCAGACGACCAAGCCTCTTCCAGGACCCATCCTCTCCCCACCCCTGCCTTTTCTGCAATTTTTTTCAAAGGCGGACACGACTCCACCTGCCTCGCAATAACGAACTCTGACGTATTTCCCCTTCAGCATGAATGGATTTTTCTTGGCATTCTGCCAGATACAGATCCCATCAGTTTGGGTACAAGTACTTGTTGGATAGTTTTTAAGTAAGAAGGGAGCGGAAAATTTTTGAAAATGTCCCTAAACGGCACAGAAGCTATACTGCTGGTTTTAAGCTTAATGTAATTTCACGTGCTGAACAAATTGGAAATCGAGCAGCAGCTCGAGAGTTTGAAGTGGACGAGAGATGATTTCGACGTTGGAGAACTGAAAAAGAACTTCTTAAAAATATGCCACAACAGAAACAGGCCAAAAGAAGTGGTACTGTAAGGTGGCCAAATCTAGAGGACGACCTTGCAAACTGGATAAAGGAGCAACGAGGAAAGGGAATGGCAATTTCGACTGTAAAAATTCGCTTACAAGCAAAATTTATAGCAAAACGAAATGAACATAAATGATTTCAAAGGAGGGCCTGTGGTGTAGCAGATTTATGAAAAGAAAAAATATT